ATTTTTGACTTAATTTGAGTCAAATTTTCAGCTAGCAAGACAAATGATCTCACACATTCTGAAAACAAGATTATTATTCTATCAGTTCTTGTTTAGTAAATCAGTCTCAAAACAAGATCAACAAGACTTTTTGGCTGGATATAAGATTTTAAAACGTGGTTAGGTGGACATTTTTTGCAGTGCATAAATTAAAACCAGTCCTTTTGTGCTTTTTTGGCTCAGCCTTATCAATTCTGCCTGGATCTTATTGTGTCGAGTTCCTGCAGTCGGAGTTCAACAACAGCTGTGTGGGTTAAATATAAGCACTTCCACAGGCCTGACAGGAAACCTACRCACCATGTATGCTGTGCGTGTTTATGTGGACATGTGTGTGAGTGGACCACAAGAGAGAGAGAGGCCAAAGCTGAGGGACTCGGCATGCCGAGCTGTGATTCTTCCTTCCTCTAAATGTTTTTCCTGCAGCCCATCCTGTCAGCAGGGGGAACAGAAATAACCCTGTGTTTGCCGTTCTGTATATGATAAAGGATGCTCTGTTCTACACTACTACAGTTGTTAGAACCGTGCCGAAACCACTCTGTTTGATTTCTGTTGTTTTATCTTATCGATGTCCCACAGATCCGACTCAAACTGTTGTGCACATGACCTCACGGCTGAAATACTGTAGTTATTTAACACTTGTAAGCTATTTCCTTYTTTTTCCAGAGCAGGAACGTGATTTCCTTTGCCTACATGAATTATTTCCAAAACTGCCAAAAACAGGAAACAGATGCTAAAAAGAGCAGCTCTTTGCACTGAAGTTTCTGGTTTGGGGAAAACTTTAAAGAGGTTTTATTTTTTTTAGCACGCAACATTTCCACCTTAAAATATGTCAGGTTCTACAGATTTGCATGAATTATGMTTTAGTTTCCATCATCACAGAGTTTTATGTGTACATATAAAAAGGTTTAGTATGTTTGAGGAGAGTGGAATTCACAAATATTCAAATTTGAGTTTCTAACCAACTTACAATGTTCAAAAGCAAACTGTAATAAATATGTTTGCATAGTTAAAGATTTATTTTATTATCYGTGTATAAATCTAACACTTAAAACAGTAACTTATAGAATAAAAGAAAAGACACATGAAGGAACTTTTTTCTTTACTAAATCTCCTTTAATGTAGATTCAAACAAATTCAGCAGTAGAGAAATATTTACAAAAAATGTTAAAATTTGTCCCAAATAAATAAGATTCAGACACAACCTGGTAAAAAAATTTGAATCATGCTTTTAGAGGTTATGTTGATTAAACCCAGATAAACTAAATTACAGCAACATGATTGTTTTATCTTGAAAGAAAGATGTAAATTTGTTCCACATTTTTTAATTTTGATGATCACTCAACAAGGTTTTTTTTTTTTTTTTTTTTTGATGGAGAGTATTGTAATCGTTTTGGTGTTTTATTTGCCTGGATTAAAACTTTTGATACTTTTTTGGTTTCATACTGCAAATCCTGAACTCATTAATATCTTCATTACTTTTAAAAACTTCTAAATTAAATATACCTTGAAATTAATGCGGTTGCTTTTGGTCACTTGGTCGCAACAAAAGTACACCTAGTTCGATTTGGGTGATTTATATTTAGCTAATGTTCAATTATTCAGGAGGAAAGTTGCTATATTGAACCATATGAATTACTGTTTCCAGCAAAGATCCTTAGATTCTAATTTCGCCCTCGTGTCACATAATCACTGCATTGATTTCACTTCAGTCTCTGCAGGGATCTGCTCGGCTTTTAAAAGATTAAAAGTCTYGTTTGTTCTCTTCTGTTTCTAGATTATTGTTTTTCTTTCCTTCCCAGGTAAACACGCAGAGGACATATTTGGCGAGCTGTTCAACGAGGCCAACAAYTTCTACCTTCGTGCCAACTCTCTGCAGGACCGCATCGACCGGCTCGCTGTCAAAGTCACGCAGCTGGACTCCACTGTGGAGGAAGGTGGGTCCAAGAACTGAAGCAAGCCGTGAACCATGAAACATCACTTTTTTTTCCTTTTAGCAAGACAGTGTTTTACTAGTTTTTTKTGTGTGTGTGTTTTCAGTCTCTCTGCAAGATATCAACATGAGGAAGGCGTTTAAGAGCTCCACCACTCAGGACCAGCAGGTGGTGTCCAAGAGCAGCGTGCCCAACCCAGTCAGAGAGATGTACAACCTGAGCGACAAACCTCCTCCTCTCACCATCCTCACTCCTTACAGGTTGGTGCTTTAGTTCAGTGGTTCCCAACCTTTTTAGACTTGTGTACCCCCYGAGTCATTATGTCGTACCCCTTCAGTCAAACGTAAGGATGATTCTCCAAAACTATAATGAACAACAACTGATTATTAAATGACAACTATTTATTTAAACCCCTTAACTAGAACATTTAATTCTCAGGCATTTTATCCTTTTCAACTCAAATTAAACATAAAGATAAATACGTTGCCTTGAAAGTGAATAAGTAATTAAATAAATAAACCAAGTAATTGCAGGTACAGGAAGAGCAGCGTCCGAAATACATCAGAAACTCGCACAAATAAGCAAATTTCGTGAGATTCCGTGTTTTGTACTGGATTCCATTTTGTTTTGTCAATTCTGTGATTCAGTCTGCATTTTCGGAAATCATAGGGACACATCCCTATTTTTATTTATTTTTTTACGCAACTGGGAAATTTTTTCACGTACCCCCTGTAATATGTCACGTACCCCTGGTTGGGAATCACTGCTTTAGATGAATTAAGAAGAGAGATTTTCAGGTCAATGTGTTGTTGTTTTTTTTATTTCTGAAGGGATGATCAGAAGGAAGCTCTTAAATTTTACACGGACCCCTCCTACTTCTTCGACTTGTGGAAAGAAAAGATGCTTCAGGAYACCGAGGACAAGAGGAAAGAGAAGAGGAAGCAGAAGGTAATAAACYGTCTGAGAGTAAATCACAGAGTTCCCTGTGATTTGATTTTATTGCATCTGATAACGGTTTTATTTGCTTGTCAGACACAATTTCCTCTGAGTTTGGCACACAAAATATAGCGTGAACTCTGTGGAATGCATCAGTGGAAGAGCGTAAACAAAGAACTACCACAGCTGTGATGTATTTGTTATTGGAATGTAGCTGGACCTGATGATGCTTCTGTTGACTGTAGGAGCAGAGGCGYTGTGTGGATGGAACTTTGCAAAGAGAGGTCAAGAAGGTCCGCAAGGCGAGGAACCGTCGTCAGGAGTGGAACATGATGGCTCTGGATAAAGAGCTGAGGCCAGACCATCGACACACCATACACCGAGACCGAGCAGCTTCCTCTGAGGGATCGATGTCGCCAGAGAACAGGTAGCTAGAAACACGCTGGGTTTTTGCTAATCATAAACCCAACAAACAGCTWCTTTTCCTCAAATATAAACAATAATGTTCTTATCAGGGGTCACGGCGCAGATCAGCATCACTACCCCAACAGTATGAACCACGCGGGCCACGCCCACACGTACTCCGGCCCGCCGCCCAGCGCGCTGGCCGCGCAGATGGCGGCTGGACACGCCCCTCGTGGAGGAGCCGAACACGACAGAGGCAGGACTATGATGGCCTATCAGGGGGGCACGCTGGGCCGCGCTCACCACCACCAGGTCCCCCTGCCTCCTCCTCCGGCTGAGGCCATGAACGGTGGCTCCATGTCTCTCCCACCTGTGGACTACAGGTAAATACAGGCGTCATGTGCTGACTCCATTGTTTTATGTATATTTTTTCATGACAATAAGCAAGAAAACATGAGAACCGTGGCTTTGTCTGCGGTAATGAGGACGTTGCTCTGGTTTGTTATTTTAAAAAAATAAAAGAAATATACGTGACTTTACTGTTGCAGTCTGTTGAGAGATATTTAAAAGATTTGTTACTTAATACTCTTTAATAAATACAAATAATATGTGATATTGAAGACAATAAACCACTCAACACGGGCACTGAATGAACTTTGGATTAATACTGCCACCTAGTGTAATTATCTGCACCGACTGCTCTGGTTTCACCTCCTCTAATTTCCTGTCCTGTCTTTCTTACAGTATGGACGGCTATGCCAACACCGCCCCACCTCCCCCTCCTCCTGCGCCCCTCATACCTTCTGCTCAGACGGCCTTTGCTTCACCACCCGGAGGTCCGCTGCCTCCCGGGACAATGGTCGCCGGCGCCAGCGGATACGCCCCACCTCCAGCACCTGTGTCTGGAGGCCAGGCAGCTCCTCCTCCGCCTGGCCCTCCACCTCTGCCCGCTCCAGCTGGTGCCTCCCACTTCACCACGCACAAGATGCTGCCCGCTGCACCGGCTGAGAACACGGTGATCAGCGACGCTCGCAGTGACCTGCTGGCTGCTATACGTATGGGTACGTACGCTTTCATAGTTATGTTTCTATTCAAGACCATTTTTTAATAAAATGGCTGATCTAAAACTCTTTACATGTCAGAACATTACTGGTATTTATTGTAAGTTAGAGGCTACAAACATCTTCAGCTGCACTGATCATCACATATAGAGGTCAATTTATTAAGGTTATTCAAAAGCTGATAAATTTATGTGTCTTATGCCACAAAATCAGTTTCATTAAACAACAGCAGTGTTTGCCTGAGCTGTGATTTAATGACTTAGGTGACGGGCTTGACTTGAATCAGCACGTTTTTAACTGTGCTCAGKTTTGCTGATTTATACAAAGCTTTATTTGTTATAAATTAGAATCTTAATTATTTTGTTTGATAAATAGAATGTTTTTTTAAAGATTAGAATAATATTCTGATCATCTTTTTTTGAGGTAAGGTACAATATGATGCAGTACAATACAATATAAAACAATTGATCCCTTAGAAAAATCTGTTCTAAACTCAGTGCTTTAGTASCTGCTTCCATTAAAACCTTATAAATAAATAATGTTAAACGATCAAATATAATCCACCACCAAATGCATCACACCATTCCCAATTTAAAGWGGAGTTGTCCTGAAAAAGCCTCCCTAAAAAAGCACCCCCAGTGCAGAGAGCAGGTACACAGTAGGGTTCARCCTGTCTTTTAAGGTAATATCTCACTGGGACGGGACTAGTTGGTAAACAGTAACAGCTGAGATGAGTGCACAGCCTAGGATACAATTTTGCAAAAAAAATAAGCAGTAATTAAAGAGTAGATAAAACACTGCCAGTTTAAAAATACAACCAGAAGACTAACTGGTCACCTGGTTGGTGTTTCACATTTTCTTGCTARTTGTAGCTGACTGACAGATTTCAGTTGGCTTAGCATTTTCAGGCATAGAAAATATGGTATTTAGATATTTTAAAAAAACAAGCGATCAGTTATTCTGTCTCTGTTTAAACGGATCCATGATTAGTTGTAACATTAGACTTTATTTGATAAACATTTATTTTAACTGTAAAGACTAAAAATACTGTAGAATGTTCAGTTTTTATCATTTTTAAACTAAAAGTTAAAAAATACATTACACGGACGGGCCCGTTTTATTTACAAGCAAAGCATTCTGGGTAAATGATGACGTGGATAGGTCCTTGGTGTGAGCGAGCTACATCC